TTTTTTTTTTTTAAAGGAAATACTTTAAAAGGAACGAACATGTGAATTTTTATTGTATCATATTAATTAAAGGCAAAAGCTATGACAACTCCTTGCGGCGAATATCGAAAGGAGATCCAAAAGTGTAATATCCAAACTGGGACGCAGGTGGTGAATCAGCAACCATGCTCCATACCGACAATTCAAAGTCAAACTACCTCGGCGGCACCGATGCGACCTAGATCTGTCTATACGGCACACAGTTATCACGCTCAAACAGATGATACTAATTTTCAGGTAGTTTCACGTAATGATTATCATGGTTATTAGTCGTAAAAGGTAAATCAGCTTCCATTGTTTAAAGCAATTTATCATCCTTTCAGCGATATAGTGAGTTTCCAAAGTATTTTGAAGCACCACCGTCAGAGCAGTGGGGTGGATTAGCCGGTGCGACGGCATTTTCTAATTCAACAGCACTCTGGCGACAGCCTCGAAATTCTAAAACCATTGCGCCATACTACGAAGAGGCATGCATCTATACAGAAAACTGGAGGGAACATGATACTGATGCTGCTATCGTAGCTACACCGCATGGTACAATTTCATTGAGACTTCACAACAGAATTCGGGTTGACATGACCATCGATCGTGCAGTTAGAGTAATTAATTTTAAGGTATCTTCTTTTTTTCTATTTTACAACAAAATTCCTATTTTCATGATTGGAATAGTAGTCTGTGTAAAAACAACATAATAGCACAAGTCCATTGTGGAAACGAACGGGAACTAATTTCTAATGCTCACATGATTATTATCTGAATTGCATTTATCGTCAGCGTAGAATAATATTGTACTATCGTTGAGCGGTTCTGGAGCGGCTGCGGCATTACTTCATCCAAACGGAAGAATATATCAGTATGGATCACGAGTTGAGATCTTGGCTCATGACGCCCACGGCAATAACAAGTCAGTGGTATCTGTAACATCGTTAAAGTACCATTAACAAGTATTATTATCCTTCATCAGATACGCAAAGATGTGGTATAAGGGGGTGAGCTTCACTTCGGAACAGTGCGCTCTAGTTTATTTAGTTGATACGGCGGGAACAAGAACGACCACAGATTCATTTTCAGATATGGGTCAGGTATGAAAAACAAATGTTGTCGCATAAATCAAACACTAACTGTACTAAAAGAAAACGTTCAATTTTTAGGACTTTTCTCTTAGTGTTTTTTACTCTCGTTCTCGGCATGGTCCAGCATGCTTGCAAGAAGCTACAGCAGCTTTAAGTGCTGCTCAATACTGGTTAACTAACGAAGGTGTAGAAAACTGGATCATTAACAATGTTAGAGTTTCACAAACGCCTGATGGTCTTGTCAGGTAATTTTAATTTAAAAAAAAAAAAAAAAAAAAAAAAATATTGACAAAAAGATTTATATAATCGGATATCAATCGATAAGAATATAAATTTCTTTTTTATTAGGATTGCACGAAATAGTAACAAATATCAATTGCGAACATCACCCAGTAACGGGACAGCTTCATTAACGACACCATTTTTACATTGTACTGCATCTCTTGGACAGACTTCTCATCTTTTCGTGCGTCGTGGTGAGCGACGTATGCATTACGATGGAACTAGTTTTATTGTACGAAACGCGGGTCACAGTGCCGGATTTGATGACAACAATCAATTGAAAGTTTATTAAGAAAATTTGGCATGAATCATTATTACCGCAAGCTTTATAAATGTTTATTAGCGGCAATAATAATATTTACATTCAGTATATAGATTTAATTTTAATGCCGTAAATATACATAAAGCTACATAAAAATGAAAAGTTACATCTTTGAAAATTAGTCTCTGATAAAGTAACTTTTTCGCGAAATCTATGATACACCTTACTCAGTTTTTAAGTTTAGAAATTTAATTCATTTTAAAGATGTGTTTAGCCATTTAATTGAATTGTCTTTACTTAAACCCTGTGCATAATAGTTACAACAAGATAGAGTACAATGTATTCTATAAAAAGTTTTCTTTAAATTTAGAATGATTAATATTTCCACTGACTTGTTCTTTACACTTATTTGTACACTTCCCAATAAAAAACAATTTAACAAATATTCATTACCCATTACGGTTTTTACATAAATTATAAACATGTACACAATATATCATTATAAGATAATGCACTTACGTATAAAAAGTGTATGCTTCTTATCTTTTTTTTCTTTTACTGTTAATTGAATTCTTTTCATCACTCAAAATCTTGATCACTCTCTTCTAATATTTCATCTTCTTCATCTTCTTCTTCATCTTCTTCATCTTCTTCGTCTTCTTCGTCTTCTTCATCTTCTTCATCTTCTTCAGATTCATTTTCATGTTCAATATCATCAACCAATGATCTTATTTTGCGTTTCAAAGTCTCTTTTCTAAAAGAATAAATTATGAAATAATAGAAAATCTTATAAATGTAAGTCACATAATGAATATGTTATTTGTACATACAAATGAAATTTTTTATGTTCTTTCAAAGATTGTTCCTTTGAAGTAGAAGAACAAGGTTTTTCAAGATCAGTTACACTTCTTTGTTTATTTCTCCTTTGTTCTTCAAATTTTTGAATATCATTAATAATTTCCTGTGCAATATTTGAGTTAAATAATTTTAAACTAGTATCTAATGGATTTATTGGTTTTGATTCTTTTTTCTTTTGTTCATAAGCTTTACTAAGTTCATCAATTTTTAACAACAGTTGGTTTTTTTCACTTAAATTTCTCAATGTTGGTAATATAGAATACGAATTAAAATACTGTGTATTCTTCACTGTATATGGTTTTTCCATGCCGTACTAGAAACACAAAATCAAATATAATATATGTAATATATAAACACTATATTTAAGAGACTTTTTCAAATATACCTCTGAATCGAAAATACAAAAATGAAATGCATTACTAGCAATTAATTTACATAATATATAATTAGCATCTAAATGTTCTCCTTCTTTTATTTCTGCATGAAGTTCCAGGATATTTTTCCAATCATCGAGTTTAATTCTAATTTTAAATTGATCTACTGGCATTTTGAAATATATTCCATACACAAGATACAATCCTCCAATACGTTCTTTAAAACGAGGTGGTAAAAGAACGAATTGTTTACATATATGCAACGCTTCTTCACAAAATTCTAATAATTCCAGAAAATTTGGACGACCCCTAGAAATACAAAGAAAAAGAATAATTTGTCAGTGTTTTAAATAATTTACTTTTTCCAAAATTATTGCCTCGCAAATATGAGAATCTTAAAATAAATTGTAAGAAAAATAAATGTAACCATTTATTAAATTTAAAAAAAACTATCTCAACTTACGCAAAAACTAATGAAAATTTCATCGCTTTCCAAATTTGACAGAAAGTATCAAATCTAATGTTATCTGCACGTTCGAAACGAGCAATTAATTGTTCGCAATCTTCTTTGAAGCCGTTCATAATTAATGATCTATTTGCTGCCATTTTTTTCTTTTTTTTAATTATAAGCTATTACTTTAAGTTTTGTTATTATAAATTTTAACTTTTTTGTATTTGGAGACACTTTGTCAACTCACGTTGTGCCGCTGTAATTGAGGATTCTACTTCGCAACACTAAATCCCATCATTTCTTCGTGGAATAGAACTTCAACAATATTTAATATAAATACACGTTTCGAATATTATTGACCCATTCTATTTAACGAGATTTAAGACAAAATTTTTGATATAAAACTTCCATTGCATTATGACCCGACGACATATGATCGGAATATGAAATACTATTAGTCACATTCTATCTAACATGTAACGACATCTACGAATATATATACGTTCAGAGGCGGTTTATTAAAAAAAAAAAAAAAGCACACATAAAAAGATAAAACGGCTTTAAAAAAGAAAATGATCGTTCAGTTCTTAGCATCATATCATTGGAGTATTTTGTGAAGGCTGCGATATTCTTTTTTTTATTATTATTACAGTTTACATATAATGTATCATAATAAATACATACCGTATAAATATTTTAATTAATTAAGAACGTAATCAAAATGTTCATTTATTGATTTTCTCGATAATAAAGGAATTAAAAATTGTATAAATACATTAGTTATACATAATATATGTAAGTACATACATGTACATATATAGCAATTAATTTAAAGCTGAAATTTTATGGCGTGATGCGCTTCGGATCACGAGGGAACATCGAAACTTTCCTAATGTTGTCTAAGCCAAGATACAACATAACAACGCGTTCCATTCCAATACCACCACCAGCATGAGGAGGGCAACCGTATTTGAATGCATCAATATATGATCTTATTTTTTCTAAGTCTATAATTTAAAAGATTATATAACATTATTATTGAAAACTTATAAAATACAAATATAAAATACACCTACCAATTTCATGATGTTTTGCACGTTCTGTAAGAAGTTCAGGATCATGAATACGTTGTGCACCAGAAATGATCTCTTCGCCGCGCATGAACATGTCGTAAGAATTTGATATTTTCTATAATAGATATAGAATATTTAATATGTTGTTATAACATATTATGGTAATAATAAACTTACTGAATTATTTGGATCCGGCATTGTATAAAATGGTCTTACTGCCAATGGGTACTTATCCAGAATGTAAAAATCTGTATCATACTAAAAATGAAACAATATTAAGAAAAATAGATTTATATCTGCTTAACATTTAAGAGAAAGTAACATTTTGAAGGAAAACCCACTTTTGCTTTAACCAGTTTACCCAATAATTTTTCATCTGGTGTAGATAAATCGTCTTCTTCGCCCAAAGTTATACCAGCTTCCGCCAATAAGTCAATAGCATCCTTAAATTCTAATTTTAATGGTGGATCTAAAAACTTAAAAGGTTCTACGTTATACTGCTGACGTACTGCCTCGATTTCGGCAGCATAACTGAAATTAAATATAAAATTAATATTGTACAATTAGAAAGAAAACTTTTCACATTTTTTAATAAATTCGACTAACTTGTCGCGAAGACCTTTGAACATCTCTACAA